TCGTTTTGCAGCGTTGAAGCCCTGATTGGAAATGACACTGGTGACTGGAAGGAATTTAACGCAGTAATGAACTGTTCCTATTCAATACACGAAATTGCAGATGGCGTCATTGTTCTTTCCAAACTCATCTTTCACATATGTTATTCAAGATACTATATTCTGAAAATCATATTCAGGAAAATTTCGTGTATAATTAGTGAATTAGCATTTGTATGGATATATCATAACTGCTGACATTACTAGTTTCAATATATTAATTATTATCAAATTTATTGACATAATTTTAATCATTATTATTCTCTACAATTATCGCAATCAGTATTATAATAATTATTATTGTTTATGTTATTATTAGTGTTATTACTATTACTAGCACTGCTACAGTTACTGGTATCATCATCATGAAGATTATAATCACATTTGCTACACTATTATTATTTTACGGCAGGTGATGTGGCAGGTGTAATAAAATTGTTGGGTCTTGTTGATCAGACCTTTTCTGGTTTGTTCTTGTTTATGTCTCACACGCTATACTACACCAGTGACGGTTGCACAAGTGTATTTGTAAGCTCTACGTGTTTGGTGACAGGTATACTTTGTATCACATTTGAAATTCATCAAATGTTCACACTGGTGACGTCATATTAGTAAAAACCCGAAAAAGTAAATGTGCGAACGTACAAAAGAGTAATATGCAAGTGAAATGAGCGGTAAGCCATTGCTCTGCCACGTATAGTTTTGGAAATATAAACATTTAAGTTTTCTCAAATTCTGCAGTCTTTTCTCGCTTTTCGATGTATCTGGTAATACCTTGAAACACATCTTATGCGCACGGGAACTGCCAAAGGAAAATCATGGAAAACTCATTCAAAACACATATATCCGAAGATTCTTTTCAACTTTATTCCACTGAGGAAATTCCAGAAAGAACTTTTCTTGACCTAGACCTCAAGGCGCGTAAATCTGTTGCCCTTTCTCATTGCAGCTACAGAAAGTGCACAGAAAGCTCTTGTCGTCGGGAGAAGCGTCGTTTAGATGGCCTTGATGGCGGCCACAATACCAGCCCAAGTCTCCTCGCCCACGGGAATGATCTGGTCGGCGGGGAGCAGGAAGCCGTAGTTCCCGGTGTCGCGGAGTTCCAAAGCGAAGGCCATCTGCACGCCGGCGGTGTCATAGGCCCAGTCGCTGCTGCCTCCTGCTGCGGGGTCTGTTGGAAGAGGGGGGCGCAGGTTAAACTTACTCCTTGTTGATGTTCCCGTGAAGTAAAATCACAGTAAGGTAATGGGCAATCAGTGTATGAGTTGTCAAGTTTGTTTCGCACTCACAGATAGTATCTGCAATGTTTCCGTATTCGAAGCGTGTTCCATGGACGGCAGTGAGTGCACTGACACCGACGCCAGATACGCGGTACTGTGGATGAACAGCAAGATTATTAGAGTTGTATACGCACTCATGCATTGTAAATATAAATGAGTTGCCTGTTGGATGATATATAGCCATTTATGGTACATTTTTGCTCGCATTCAGAAATTTCCACCTTCTCTGTATCTCTTCTCTCTCTCTCCCTCCCTCCTCTCTCCCCCTCACCCTCCTCTCCTCCCTCCTCTCTCGTCTCTCTCTCTCTCTTCTCTCCTCTCTCTATCGCTCTCTGCTATATTATATATATATATATATATATATATTATAATATTATTCTCCTCTCTCTCTCCTCTCTCTTCTCTCTCTCTCTCTCTTCTCTCTCTCTCTCTCTCTCTCTCTCTCTCTCTCTCTCTCTCTCTTCTCTCTCTCACTCCTCTCTCTCTCTCTCTCTCTCTCTCCTCTCTCTCTCTTCTCTCTTTTCCTCCTTCGTCTCATTCTCTTTCTTCGTTGCTTCTTCCTCTTACACTCTGCCTTATCTTCATTTCTCTCTCCTTTTACCTCCTTCTTCTCACTTTCTCTCCGTCTTACCTTCTCTCTTCTTTATACGGCTTCGCTTTCTCTCTTTCCTGCTTTCTTTCTTACTTTCTCCTTTCTCTCTTCGCTCCTGCCTCTAGTTGCATAATGCGTCTTGTACTCTCTCTTTCCCCCATTGGTAATTCCATTCTGCTTCCTCTGTCCTTTTCTTTCCTTCGTGCTCTCTTTCCTTCCTCCTCCTTAGATCGTGCTTTCTTTCCTGCTTCTGTCTCCAACTCATCATTTCCTTTTTAACTTCTTCTCTCTTCTTGCCATCTAGAACTCCATCACTCCTCCCTCTTTCCCCTCTCCTCTTCTAACCCTTAATCATCTTCTTTTATCTCCTTTCCCTCCCTATCCATCTTCAGCCTCTTCCTACAACCCTCCCCTCCATCCCTCCCTCGCTCTCTCTCTCTCTCTCCTCTCTCTCTCTCCTTCTCTCTCTCTCTCTCTCTCTCCTCTCTCTCTCTCTCTACTCTTCTCGTTCCATCTCTCTCATCTCTCCCCCCTCTCTAACCTCTTCTATCTCTCTCTCATTCCTTTGCTTCCCTGATTCTCTCTTCTCTTC